TTGCGGAATAGGAGATTAGGCTGATTTTGTGCGTTTCCCGCGATTTTGCCTTCCATATGGATCTGGATTGAATATGATATTCACATCAGCATTTCAAATTCCTCCAGAACATTTCTCCCAATTTTGCAATTTTATCCATCCATTGTCTACATACCATAACCTTGCGGTAGGTGGCTAATGTGTGGAAAGGGTGTGATATCTGTTATCAGCATATAAAATAACCTACCCAAATAAACATTAGCGAATTGCAGAACTAAACGACCATTACGGATTTGTTCTCCGCTTCACTTTATTGATTTTTTAGTCAGCTAAATCAGGGCGGTTTGCTTAACGGAAAACCATTTGTAAAGCACAACCTGTGTTGATTATGAATCCATGTCAGAACTTTTGCAGCTTATCTGACGACCCAGACATTGTGTTATGGGCAAAAAAGTTCAATCTATTTCTTATATATACAGTTCTTTCAGGCGCCGGGACCTTTGAGCTATAGACTTCACCCCCAAAAGTTGTATGAGAGCTCTCGTGACTTCTCCGCGTATTGTTTTGTCGTGTTAGGGCGCCAATTAGTAGCTATTACTTTAGCCTAGATTATCACACTAGTACTTATCTCATTTTATATTTCTATTTCAGTTATCAGAAAGTAATAAAACATATACTGCAGAGCGGTGAGTTGTGCGAAGTTGCACAAAAAATGCTGGAACCAGTAAATCCGGGCCCAGGCGCCAGGCCATCTGCAGTCGCAGCATTCAAGGTTAAATTTTCTAGTCGTCACGATATTACTAATAGCTGCATGTCTTACTTTAGGCTGCTGCTGATAAATGGCGACGCGACGCATTGGAGTTTGCTTCGCGAGCTTACTGTACTTCGAGACAAGAACTTAATCTTCTAAGTCGTTTAAAACATTCGAATATCGTCTGTCTTATTGGGGTTCGTAAAAATAAATTCTTTTCCTTTACCCTTTATTCTTTTTATCCTTTATGACTTCTTCTTTCTTTTCCGTTTTTGGAAGGCTCTCAACTTTTAATAATATTCAGGTTTGTGTTTCCCCTCTCTCCCTCATATTCGAACTTGCTCCTCTTGGAGCTCTAAATCAGCTTTTGGCCAGCCATAGAAAAAGCGGTGCTCGTCTGGGCCTTTCTGTTCTTCGGGATTCAGCTGTGCAGGTGAGAGAAAGTGAACCCAACAACTCCATTTTTCTGAGTTTAATTTTTGATTTTTAGGTGGCCAAGGCTCTCGAGTATTTACACTCGGCACACATCATTTATCGGGATCTCAAGAGCGAAAATGTTTTGGTGTGGCGATTCCCATCCCCATTCGGGCCTCAAACCGACGTGC